ATACTAATAGGGAGAAAAGCCCATAGTGGTAACTGATTCATTTGAACTTTACGGCTATCCATATACTTAACCACTTTGTACGTCTTTTCTGATTACTTTCTTCTTTCTTTCTATCTATTTGCCTCTCTCTGGGTGTGTATGTGTGGGACTTAGAAGAAAACCTTCTGGAGGAGTAGGTTCTCTCCCTCCTTGTTATGTGTGTCAGAGACCCAGCTCAGGTGGTAAAGTTTGGCGGCAAACACCTTTGCCTGCTGGGACATCCCTAAGGGCCCACTTTGCATTTCCAAACCAAAGAATTTGAATTCTCACCTCATTACCCAAATAATCCTTTAAGACGCCAGAAGCTGGAACTCAGCTCCTGAAGAGAAAGCTCTAAGGTTAGCAGCTTCTTTTGGCTCTGGAAGAGTTCAGTTCCCAACACCCACTTTCAGCAGCCCACAGCTGTAACTGCATCTCCCAGGAGGTACCTGATGCCTCTGGTCTCCATGGTTAACCCCACATAGGCATGCTCATACCCACACATGGACACACACACACTTATAATTAAAAATAAGAAAAACAAGCCGGGCGGTGGTAGCGCACACCTTTAGTCCCAGCACTTGGGAAGCAGAGGCAGGTGGATCTCTGTGATTTCAATGTCAGCATTGTCTATAAGAGCTAGTTCCAGGACAGCCTCCAAAGCCACAGAGAAACCCTGTCTCGAAAAACAAAAAACAAAAACAAAATAAGAAGAAGAAGAAGAAGAAGAAGAAGAAGAAGAAGAAGAAGAAGAAGAAGAAGAAAAGCAGCTGGGCATTGTGGCGCACACTTTTTATCCCAGCACTCAGGAAACAGAAGCAGGTGGTTCTCTGGGAGTTTGAGGCCAGCCTGGTCTACAGAGCAAGTTCCAGGACAGCCCAGACTACACAGCGGGATCTTGCCTTGAAAAACCAATACAAATAATAAATACAGATAACGAAAGTAAATCTTTTTTTTAAAGATGTCAGAAACATTTCTTCAGACGACAAATATGAAGAACACTACTTAATTTCACTGCTTCCTCCACCTCCAATGCCTTAAAAAGTAGCTTTAATTGTTTTTTTTCCAATGGTTGGTTTTGCTTTTAAGTGTACGTGTGTACACGTGCACATGCACCAGAATGAAGGTGCACAAAGAGGCCAGATGCATCGGAACTCCTGGAGCTGGAGTCACAGGTAATTGTGAACCAATGAATGTGGATACTGTGAACTGAATTTAATCCTCTGGAAGAGAAGCAAGTGCTCTTAACCTCTGAACCATGTCTCCAGTCCCTTAAGAAGCATGTAAACACCCATTCAGTTGGACTGCCCCGAGTCTGCAAATCAAAGGCTGAGTCTGCAGTGTAGGGCTATTCAAACAACAGAACATTTTTTTCCTCCTCAGACATAGGATCCAAAGGCTTTGCAAACTTCCTTTACCTGCGATCATCTATGATTTTGGTTCTGAGCTGACACAGAAATGAGATGCTCTGCATCAGATAGACATAAAGCTAACTCATTATAGAACCACTGAAATAGGCCGGGGCACATTTCAGGCCATTCTGGGTCTTAATAGGGTAGGAGACACAAGAATAGGGGAGGTCTTATCTGCAAGCTAACCTCGTTTTTGCCAGCTATTCCAGAGGCTAGTTCACTGGACCGTGAGGCAAGGGTCAGCTCCTTACATTTCAACACCCAGTGTCCTTGTCAAACCCAGTGAGACACCTACTAGCTCAAAGACAGTCCTAACCAGTGTTCCCAGTGGGGAAGCTTTGAGGTTCTATTTTTTCCCCTGGGAAAAAAGATTTAAAAGAGAACAATTAACAGAAGAAAAGATAACATGCTCTGATTTGGAGTGGGAACAGCCCTCCAAGTAAGTCTTTCAAGATAACTCAGCCCTCAGCTCTAGAAGCCCTGATGCCTGATACAAGCAAGCTTTAACAGAGAAACCGAATGGTGTGCTCAGCCCACAGAGGAGTGCCCTGTGCCCGAGTGGCCCCTCTAAGTATCAATGTACTGAACATAAGCTTCCTAATCAAACTTTCACAGCGAGCCTAGCCTCTGGAACCTTACTCTAGTGGGAATTCCAGCCCAATCACCCTTCACCAGGCTGTTGTAATCTTGAAAAAAACCCTGCAATTTTAGTTTTTCTAATATGCTTTACTCATGTTGCAAGTAGGGAATGCATAGCTCAGCATGATGTTCAAGAAAGAAAATTTGATCTTATATGACATCTCTCCTTTGGCTTTTTAATCTTTTTTTTTTCTTGTAAACAGGAGGCTTTTAATATATGTTCATTTGTTTGTTTTTTGATTTTTTTTTTAGGACAGGGATTCTCTGTGTAGCTCTCACTGTCCTGGAATTCTCTCTGTAGACCAGGTTGGCCTCAAACTCAGAGATCACCCTGCCGCTACCACCAGAGTGATGGGATTAAAGGCATGATCCATCACTGCCCAGCTAAATTTTGTGTTTTTAAACTTTTGTATATGGCAGTTCTGCCTGTATGTATATTTGTGCACTACATGTATACCTTGTTCTTGTAGAGGCCAGAAGAGGACACTGGATCCCCTGGGACTAAAGTTACAGTTGTTTGTGAGCCACCATGTGGGTGCTGGGAATTGAACCTAGTTCTCTGGAAAAGCAGCTGATGCTTTTAAGTGCTGAGCCATCTATCCAGCCTGAGCATTCACTAATGTTTTATTGTATTTATCTTATGGTCTTCATTTGTGCTTGAAAGTACACTGTACATACCAGTGTTTCTAGTGCTTCAGTATATATAATACTCACCTGGGGCAGTTTGTTAGATCTGTTGTATTTCTAGGCCATCTTCAGAGTATGAATCAAGTGGATTAAATGTGAGCCCAAGAAATCAGCATTCTCAAGATACTTCACAGATGACTCTGATGTAGAAAATAATACAAAAACACTTAATAAAGCATTTGAACAACAATCCTTTCTCTGTGTCTCTCCCTCCCTCCCTCCCTCCCTCCAACTCCTCTCTTCTCTCCACAATTACTTGTTATAACTGCAGAGAAATAAAACATGCTTGCTATAAAAGACTGAGCGCCATCCCAGAATGCACATGCTGGGAGAGATCTGACACATTCAACTTGTCCTCTGTCATACACTCACACACAAATATAATTTAAATTTTAAAGGAAAAAAATACTGACATTGGAGTGGGCCACAGAGAGTTCTTAAGGAAAACAGTAGATTAAGGCACTGGGCAGTGAAGAATTTCTTTAATGGCATCCAAATATCATTACCAATAGTCTAATTAAAAAGGACAGATCATTCTACTATTTTCTCTACTCGCCCCCTCCTTTGCTTATCTAGATTTTCTATTTTTCATTCTAAAACAGAATTGATTCATTTTATAGTAAAAATAAAGGTGTTTGTTAGTAGTAAAACACACCATTGAAACATAAAGTACCAGACAAACTCCCATCAGTATATGGAGGTATCAGAATGAAAGATAACCTTTATTCTACAGAAGCAATGTAATACCTATTACTTATACAATAGCCATTCTACTGCAAGTACATTCATCATGTTCATAGCACCTTTGGAAGTTTTTTTAATCTTTCCATCTTTCAACAATGGGCAGGTAGATGGGGGGTGGTTATGATTCTTAGATACACCTGCATAATACAAATCTTTGCTATATAAATCATTTTTTATCTTTCACGAAATAAAATGGAAAACAACCTTGTACAATTTACGCATTTTCTCTGCGGGTCTCCTGAGCCAATGGGGACAGTCAGTAGCCTTCAGATAGATTTTCTTACAAGGCAAGAACACAATGTTATTTTTTGTTAGAAGCAGCTCCTCTGGGAACTGAGTACAAAACTCAGTTGGCAGAGTGCTTAACTACTATGTATAAATTCTTGAAGTTGATCCCCAGCATGATATACACTGAAATCTGTGGTACTCAGCTGCAATCCTTGCACTTGGGAAGTGGACACCACTGGATCAGAAGCTTAAGGTCATATTAAGCTACAAAGCCAGTTGGTGGCAAGCCTGGGGTACATAAGATACTGTCTCAAAAAACAAAACCAACCAACCAACCAAACAAACAAACAAAAAACCACTACCAAAAATACCCAGCAATTCTTCCATAGTTTTTTTTTTTATTTAAACAGGTACCTTGGTCTACTCTCAAATAGGTTTATTATATCAGATTGGGACTCATGCCAAGAAAAATGCCCCACATTTAAAAACAAAAGGGACTGTTTTTGCTAAAGACTCTGCAAGACACCCTCTTAAACCCAGAGCAGTTTTTTTTAAAGACTTAAAACATGTATGTGCATGTATATTACCCTGCATGAGCATATGTGTACCATGTCCATGTGGAGACCAGAAGAGTATCAGATCACCTGGAACTAGAGTTAAAGTGACCCACCATGTAAGTGTTAGAAATTGAATCTGAATTCTCTGCAAGAGCAGTTCAGCATTCTCATGAGCCACTGCTCACTACTTATGCTATGTCACTATAGAACAGAGGCTTAAAACTTTGGGGAAAACAGAGTGTGGTGGCTCTTACTTATAATCTCAGCACTTCAGAAGCTGAGGAAGGACTACTATGAATTCCAGGCTACCCTGGGCTACATAATAAGACCCGGCTTCAACCTAAACAAAAAAGCCAATTATAGTGGCACCACCTGTAGTTGATCACTGGGAATGGGGATGGGAGTTCAACTGGGGAATTCCTGGAAACCCAGTGGTGTTGTGACACTCAGTGTCCTCAGTGGTGGGGCCAGCAGAGATCATAGGATCCAGCATAAGTGGACCTACTTGGCAGGCTGACAGGTCCCAGGAAAGGGATGGGGACTCAACAACAGAAGATTGGCATGGAAGCCCCCACCTCTGCCCACCAGTTTTACATCTAAGCACAGGTTGAGTGAGGCCATATCCCCCCTTAAATATGATTGCACACTAATGTTCCACACAGATCCCTGTGAGGCAAGTATTTTCCCCATGAAAAGACCAAGTCTTAAGCAAGTGTATCTATAACGATTGCCAGTTTTATTCCTCTGGCTAGCAAATCCAGAGGTAATTCCAGGTTTACACTTCTTTTTAATAGTTTTTCATCAAGAGTTTAGTGTTTTATTGCCTCTACAAGCTGGTTACAAATTAATTTTAATTAACTCCCACTTATTAAAAATCTGCAGTTCTTTGTGAGACACATATTCATTAAAAAATACACATGAACAAAAGGCAAAATTAAAACACACCACACAAAAATAAGCAGTTAAGTTTTTTGATGCGTATAATTATACATGTACACACATAATTAGGAATTTTCCTATATATGTGAGCTGGTACTAAATATGCTGCTTTTTAATTGTCTAATATGGAATGAACACATTTCCATGCATAGAAGTGTTAAACTTTCCAACTGAAAAATAAATGTGGAAAATGGGTCAAAATCCAAAATCCAATGAGATGCTGGTAACAACAAAACTACCTAAAAGAAAATACGGCCAGGTAATTAAAAGTGAAATGAAGTTCAAAGATACATCAGAGAAATGCTAAGAGAAAGAAAGCAGCAGCCAGATTTCCATATCAGAGAAAGGGATTTCAAGGCCTGAAACACACAGGGTAAGGTCTGCTTCGGGAATGTCTTTGCTTCCAATGCATCATCACAAACTTGTTTCTTACTCTTCTGATCTCTTCCCTAAGCCTTTCCAGCTCAATGACTCCTCTTATCACTTCTTCAGGGTTCAGATGCCTTGTGGGAGTGTCCTCTTTAGGTTCCTTGCTGGGTAGAGCAGGCTCTGCTCTAAGGCTTCCATCTGCTTCCTCCCCCACACTTTCTCCAGAAGCCTGAAGATTCCCCCCTGCCTGCTGGGGTGTATCTTCTGAAGGATGGCCTTCATCTGCCTTTGGGGTGTTCTGGGGTGTCCCTTCGTTCTCGTCACAAGACTTTTGCATGTTGAGTATTTCTTGCTTTGAATAAATTAATCCTAGGCGGGGGGGGGGGGGGGCAAAAGA